TTCTTTGATTCACAAAAATGGCTTAATAAGCTTGACTCGGCGGCTCCAAAACTCCAACTGTACCTTGAATCCCTGTTGGAGAAGCTACTTAAACAAAGCACTTTGTGGTTTGAGGTTATCCTGTACTGTGCCCACTCCGCACGATGCTCGATTGTTCCGGGAGTGCCCAGCACTGGTTTGACCTGTGTCGGTTGGCACTCTGTTCCCATCCTTGCGCAGTGCTACTTACAGGCCCGGTGAACAACAAAGTGAAGGCATGTCTCAATCCATGGCATTTCCTTCATCTGAGTCCTACTTCTAAAAAAAGGCAGTAAAATTAGCTCTTTTTTTTTGGATCATAGGTGCTGCAAGACAAAATTCTTCCCTATCGCCCTGCGTTTGGGCGCTGTGACCTGCAAAGCGGTGCGGGCGGAGGCTGCAGCCGGCAGCGTCTCTTTTAATGCGGTGCAGGCTGAGCGTGGCGCTGGCTGAGATTGCCGTACGCTCGCTGCATCTCTGCAGACGGGAGTCCGAGCATGCCAGCTGGCACCAAACGCCCAGCATTGCCGGCTGGCAGCCAGACAGGAGGAGGCCTGGTCAGCTCACACCTGAACACACCTGCTTCTACTTCCGCGCAGAGAGAGGGCCACTGGAGTGGTGCGCATCATGAGCACATGCACATGAAGAGTGATAATCGTGCAAATACACACCCTGACGCACGATCCCCCTAGTTGGCCGTCAAAGTTGGGGGATCATAAAGATGGAGATCCTGAAGTGGGCCTCTTCTGGAGGTGTGACTGAGAAGCCAGAGGTTACCCAGAATCCCTTCTTGACAATGCAAGCAATTCTGTCTCTGCTCTACGTGACGGTGTTCAGACCAGCCGTCCATCAGTAATGAAAAAGAGGTCATTCGGTGAAGAAAGGTCAGAGAACATATCAGCTCACCCTCTGAAAAATGGAAGTTTAACAGGGACCAAATCCCAGTGTAATCAACCCCCCCCCCCACCCCAGGCCCACACCCTCCACCTCCAGGGACATCAAGTATACATCAAATGTCCCGGACATATCAGAAGAGCAGAAATAGGAACCTGGGACATTATTTGTTCGTTTTTGTACATTTAAATTTTGCATTAACGGCATTATCCTATGTGAGAAAAGTGCATGTCCATTCCACTGGCAATTTTGCCTGTTATTTTCAGATGAGGATGGTGTGCAGGCTCTGTGGGGGGCACTGTGGCCTTACGCCAACAAGATTGTTGGTTTGATCCCCACCCGCAGTGTTGTGTGTGTGTGTGTGTGTGTGTGTGTGTGTATGAATGGAATTTGCATTGTCTCATGTGCCTGAGTGTATTTTTCATGCTTCTTACTGCTGTCCAAAAATGTGAATTGGTGTCTTGGAGCGTGAAGTCGTGTGTAGGAGAGTGTATCTTGTGTCCAGCCCTTCCTGTCATTCGGTCCAGGTTGTCCAAAACTCCACACTGGGAACATGCTTCTAGAAAAGGGATGGGTTTATGTTGATTATGGAGAAAGGCCATAAAAAGCGAAACAATCTGGCCGCGACCCTGGCTTCCCTCAGGTCCACCAACGTTTCGCATAAATACAAGTTGAGTGACAGAGGCTCTGACATCCAGGTCATGTGTGGTAGATGCCTTATGGGGGGTGTGCATCTAGCAGGGAGCTTGTTGCTCCTCGTCGCCCCTGCCTGGTGATCCACAGGCTGCTAGGGGACATGACTTTACCCGCAAACTCATACTCCAAAGCCCAATTATTATGCTGGGATGAGGCCATTCCGAATTACCACAACCCAGAGAACCTCTTCAGATGCAGGGGGAGGAGCGGCCCAGCTGGGGGTGTCTCCACTGCAGGTAGTTCATCACCACACCGCCATACGCGCAAGTACACACACGTGGAATCACACAAATAGGGGCACACACGCGTGCTCGTGTAGTAGGTGAGAATGTAGAGGCCCACCGGATAACCAAACGTTATTTAACCACACAAGCACGTTCACTCACTCACAAACACACACACACACACACACACACTCATATTAATCCTCAGAGACACACATGTTACCCACGGAATCAGGCTCTTGCTGTTGCCACAGCACCTTGCTGACTGTTGGGAAGGTCGCTTCCCAGTTCTCTCGCCAACCCTAACATGGTGACATTGTGTGGGGGTGGGGGAAGAGGGTTGGGCATGGGATTGGGGGGGGGAGGCATTCTGGAGCAGAGAGTGGAGGGAGCCATAGAAGATGCTGGAAAGAAATAACCTTCTTCTAGACTTTGGGACCATGGGAAGCTTGGGTATCATCACTTTCAGATACTAACAGTTTACTCTACTACTCAACAAAAACCTGTGTAAAGTTAATATAACTGGACAACTACTGAAGGCTACGATGGCCTACTGCTGGCCTGGAAAACACCGGAAAGTTCTTTCAACCCCTGGTGATGTAATGTCTGGCGGCACTGGCAAATGCAATCTGATGATAACACTCAGCAAAATCGTACATTAGTTAAAATGGGTGGACAGAGTTACATTTTCACTCCATCGGGAGTTTATCCAGTGTCTGCCCAAAGCTTATACACGCAGTGTCTGTTGGGTAGGACGACTCACAGCTTGTGGGCAAAAAATATATTGAAGAAAGAACATCACAGAAAAAAAAAGAGGCTAATTACTTAATGAAAAAGTCTGTGCTTGTATTATGTACAGAGCTTCCTTTTTGACTTAATAATCAAGGGTCCGCTCGTGGTACAGCTGCGTGACCTTGACAAGGTGACTGGCAAAAGCACCCGCTGACACTTCAAGTGGAAATGTTCAGATTTATCGGGCCTGTTCTGTGGAGCACAATGTGATACATAAACTGAGAGTTCTCTTGTGCTCTCTGAGTCTCGCCTATAATAGCTTCAACTCATCATATTACAGCTGGTAAAAAATACTTTGAATAAATTCCTGTTCTAAAGCTTCAGAATGCATGCGTGCTAAAGAGGCTTGGAATTTTCGCAGCTTTTGACAATAAAAATTAAGGCTCTTGGTTCTCCTTGCATGCTAGCCTTGCATCCTTAGATCTCCACCTATTTCCAAATAGGGCTAGCCTCACCTCCTCCCTCACCTCCTCCCACTTACACCCCACCCCTTTAAATACATGTACATTGTCTGTGCAGAATGTCATTATAAGAGTGTTGAGCTGACAGGAATATTTTTGTGTGTTTTGCCTCTTTTTGTTACCGTCCCCCCTTACGCCCCCCCCCCCCCCCCGGGGGCTCAGTGAGCTGCCAGTCGGTGGCATGTATCCAGATGGCAGTCACAAGGCAGGCAGCATGGGGGGGGGATTGGGGGCTGGGGACCCACACACACACACACACACGCACACACACACACACACCACTTAATGAAACCTCATGAATTATTCATCACACACAAACACACGCTTGCACAGTGAGGGAGGCGGCCGCGCGCACAAGGCTCTTGTCAGGAACAGAAGGCAATGAGACTATGTTCTGTTTCTGTTGTTGCTGCTTTTGTTGTTGTTTTTTTTTTATTTTTGAGTTGTAAAGAAATGCCAGGTGGTGGTGGCCCCCTCCCGGGTTACAGAGCAGAGGCTAAGGGTTGTACTGCCTTGAGGAGAGGAGCAGGGAGGTGCTGATAGAGAGAGAGAAAAAGGTTACCTCACTTGTTACCTCAAAAGTCCCATATAAGCGCTTGGCTCCAGTTTCCGCTGTTTGAGTCTGACATGCTTTGGCTGTGGGGCGTTTCTGTCAGAGCGGTTGCCCGTCATGCTCACCTACTTGTCCCGTCTGTGAACAGTTCCGAGTCGTGACAGTTTGAACTCTGCGGTCTATGCAGTGGGACTGGACACTCGGTTTGAGAGGCAGGCCTGACAGCAGATTGTACCCAATTCTGCCCTAAGCCAAAGTCATGCCACAGGCCTAATGCAGCCAATGGAACGTAAGAAAAACAGGTAAAAATGCCACTAATAATTGCAAAGACAATTGCTACTTCCATACAGACAAGCAAAATTCAGCCTCTCCAGAAAAGATGTCAAAAAAGTCTTCTACTGTGTCTTTCAACGAACCTGAAAATCGTAAAAACGCCCCCTCTAGACAGGGTGAAGCATGGTCTTGGCCCTCCACACAAAATAATTTCTGAGGTCTGGGTAAGGGGCTGTCAAGCTGTAGCAGTTCAACTCAGCCGAGGGCCTAGTTAGGTTCTGAGGACGCTCAGCATTGGGAAAGTCAGATCCTCCTGATCTTCCCCAAGAGCCAATCAGGCAAGAAAGCAGCGACTGGAAAACATGCTAACTCAAGTGTTATGGAAAGGTCATTTATCGTAAGACACTTTAATAAGGAAATATTCATCAGTAAGAGCTGGATGCAAGATGGGGGAGGGGAGCAGGTCAAATTGAGGGAGTCAGCATGTTGTGTGGAGTCAGTGTAACTGTTTGACTCTCTTTGGGATTGAGTTATGTGGTCCTGAAACTCCGCCCCTATGGCTATCCTCTGTTTGATATACTGGATGAACATCCTCTGCCCTTGTCCATTTGTAACCTGGGGTACCACCCAAACCGTGCCACATAACATGGTTTTGTTTGCGCATCGTCGGGTAAATTGCATGCGGCGATTGGGCTGCCCAGTGCCAATGACAAAGACTGCAGCGTTCTCTCTCTCTTTGGTGCATGTGACATGCTGAACCCCCTTGGCTGCATGATGACTGAAGGACAGCTGTTTGGGACCAGCAGTGGGTTTAATTGCATGTGGAGGAATGCTAGTTCACCTTCCAGGGGCAGGTGCGTGTGTGGTGGGTGATGCTGTGGCAGGGTGGGTTGAGGGAGGGGGCAACACAATGGAGCCAGGTGGAGATTAAAAGGTTGGGGTATCTGAAGCGTTAAGGCTCACTGAGCTGAGGCAGCCGTTTGCTGTTCAGGTGGGGAAAAGGTGTGGGCTTTTGGGTCACTTCCTGTGATCTAAACACACCAATTACATGCGGCAGTCAGAGGGAAAAATTTCCCTGCAATTCTCGGAAAACGCTTTAAAAATCACTCCGAGTCCTCTGACTGTGGCGGAGAATGTCGAAAGGTTTCGGGTAAAACTGCCGGCATGTAAAAGTCCGGGAAAATCGCCTTGAAAAGATTCGGACGTAAAAGGCGCGCCTGCGCGACGACGGTTACACGCGAAAACTTCTAGAGCAATTTAGGTTACTGACAACAGGTACTTTACTTAATCCTGTATAGGCAGAAATAAAGAGTACCATCCTTGGGGAAAATTAAAATACCATTAAATAGGCAGCTGGAGACATTGTGTTCCGGGCTGAATTATAGGGAAACACTATCGGCTTTTCCGATAAACATAGGTATCACTCACAAACAGCAACAATCGCTTTCAAATGTGCCGGAATTTGAAAGTCATATCGTAAGGCTGTGATAACGGCGATCTCCAGGGACGGCGTTTATACGCACACAAACCTTTTAAAAGCCTCGTTTGAAACGTGATGTTGTCACCTCTCTCCCCACCTCAGGGATCGTGTCATCAATGGAGCGCCGAGATCGCACCCGTGTCCTTCTCTGCTGTCGAAAACACTGTTTATCTTCATCTTAAAAGCGAGGATCGGCACTTGAACTCGGAGCAATTGAATGGTACGAAGGTATAGTTCCAGTGAAATAGGCGTGACTAATGGGTAAATAGACAGTGTCTAAAGTGCGCGAGGTGGGGGTGGGGGCAGGGAGATGATTAAGGCCAGATATTTGAATAATTACAATGGAGTCGGTCCTCTCATTATCACACCGGCTCTCGGAGGAACGCTCGTCTCTCCGATCGATAGATCTTTTGTGCGATTAAATATGAGTGAGCCACCAGCAGGCTGGGGGTGCGGGGGGAGTGCCGAGCAGGTCGCACGCAGGGCTGACAAAACCCGCTCCCCTTTAATTGCCTCCGCCCCCTGCTTGTCATCACGTCAGAAAAGAGGCATCTTCTGACTAAAAGGATTCGGGCTCAAGTTCCATTAGTTTGCCTGTGGCGTTAATTTGTGTTTATTTCACCTGGTTTTATACTGTAAAGCCGCCGAGACTGCATAAATGACAGGCCAAGGCTGTAAGGGGAAAAAATAAAGTGATTATTTTTATTATTGAAACACATTAGCCTGTCCAGAAAGATCTCTTTTATGTCTCCTGTTCTTCCTGGGAAAGAATCTAGCCCCACAGTGACCCTGTACAGGATAACCAGCTATGGGAGATAGATAATAAAAACAGCAATGGCAACAATAATAATATTACTGCTAATAATAATAATAATAATAACAAAAACCAAGCTAGCCCGTCCTTCTGCATGATGGAGTCATATTGCTCGAGGCCTGATACCATGAGCTGATACGTGTTTGGCCTGCTGTTGTCCATGTTGTCGATACTTTCATCTGACTTCAGAGGGATTAATTACAGCGCGGTGCTTGCTGGCAGGAGGGCACGCAATCATCCAGACACCCCCCCCCCCCCCCCCCCAACCAAGAAGTAAAACTTATTTCCAGATGTCCCACTGATGGGCAGCGCCTCCCTGCTCACACGTTCTAATTACTGTGACTTCCAGCGCTGCCTCCACCCCAGCCCCCTACCCCGAGACCCTCACAGTATGGGTAAAGCAAATCACAGGGGCTGGGCACCTGCTCTGATCCAGCATCCTTATCTGTTCCGGACCATTCCTGTGCACAGCACCTCCACAGGCCACAAGCTGTAAGTGCACGCAGAATAACGACGGGCTTAAGAATCATGACATTTCGAAGGGAAGGGAGGGGGTCATTTTTAAACTGTGCATGCCTCACAGGCTGGGGGATTATCTCAGGTGTTTGTATTCCGATTTGCCCTCCCATCATTCCCGGGCCGTCTGTACAGATGCAGCTGGTGCCGGGTGATAATGGAACTGCATCCCGCCGTTAAGAACGGGAGGCGATGACCCCCGGGCCCTGCACGCATATACCCGCCGTGATGAATCGTGGAATAAGCACGGCGTAAATCACTCAGCATGACAGGGCAAAAAACAAGGAATTTCTACCAATAGGCAGATTTCAGATAAAAGTGTTTCAGGCTGAAGAGGACAAAATATTAGCTGCCCACCAATGCGACCAGCAGTGGTTAGAGCAGAAATTGCTTTCTTGTTTGCCCACTAGAAACATCACACCTTTTCCATAGCCTTGTATCTGGCCCGGGCTAGCCTGGGAAACACCCAGCAAGGCATAAGGTAGGGAACACCCCGAACGGGATGCCAGAATTCCCATCTTAACTCTCTCTGTAGACGGTCTCATCCTGTATAATGGTCTGTAAAATTCTCCAGTTGTGCCATGTCAAGTGAAAATGCAACACACTGTTGTCTAAATATCTGTAATTAAATGAGTGAAAAAGCACTGTAAATACACAATTATGAAAACGGTCCGTGGGGAAGAGAGACAAAGGAGACTTTCTGTGCTGAGAATCTGTGCTAAGAATCTGTGCCATTTTTCTGGACTTTGGATGACCAGGTACACACTTCTAAATAGGACGAAAAGTCATCTGTCTTTTTTTTTTTTGGTGTAGAGGGTCTCTGATGATACAACTGAAGGGTGAAATGCAGCCAGGAAATTATAAATTTTTCTGGCTCGTTCTCCTCCCAGTGATGCTCGTTTGACTGAGAAATATTGCCACCAAGCTGGTCTCCCCAAAGTTCAGAGGGAATTAAAAAAAGGGAAGTCATTCAAATTCATGTGCGCCGCTCGACTCGGCAGCAGATGTTGGCGTAATTAAAGAGAGGGGGGAAAAATGCTAAATTAATTTCAGGTTTAATGTAAATTTTGGTGATTGGCAGAGCCATTCTAATCACCATCCGCATGCGGGGGAAAAGAGCCGCAGCCGGGCACGTAGGCGCTGGCACGCGGGCACACGCCGCACGCACGTGCTCATGGGGCGTGCCGGTATGGCATGCCGCCACAGGATCAGCTGGCACGACGACTACGCGAGCGGGTGACACATGTGCATGTGAGCGTTTTTGCACCTGCCGGCGCATGGGCTTTATACGTGCGCAGAGAGTGCAGGCGTAGATGTACAGAGATGGAAATGCATCACGTCGCAATACATGCATGTTAGCGAGTCTCAGAGAGGAAGGCCAGCGGTGCCATGAGTGCAGAACGACCGCACGCAATATTTATCATGTCTGTCCATAATGACCATTTCATTGTTGTTTACTCAGGCCCAACAAACTAAAGGGCCTTGCACTGTATGATTAACAATGCAGGCAGAATCATATGTCCTTAAGCCAACAGTCCATCCATCCATCTCCTTACCACTTATCTGGATCAGGGTCACGGGTAAGTCAGAAGTGTTTCATAAAAATTTGCAAAGGAATGCAGAAGGTCACTGATGGAAGAAAACACATCAAACATCAGCTTTGCATCAGAGGAATTTCCCATGAAACCCCCAAGGTACAGAGAAAACCACACATGCACAAGCACACAAACATGCCTCATAAGGCCTCCCATAATGGGTCATGATGAGGCTGCCATGCCAGTGTCTTTATTTGAGTATCTGCATGGCTGCATGTCTCTGCTGGACATGCTTATGTTCACATGCGTGACTGTGTTCTGTTTAAGTGTATGTAAGACTGATTCTGCGATGGCGTGTTTTGATTGGCTTCAGTCCTGTGGTGTCACGCCCCCTGCCCCCTGCACTGCTGCCCCTTCCCCCCCCCCCCCCCCCCCCCCCCCCCCCCCCCCCAGCCCCTTTTCTATGCCTGCCGCCAGGGTCAAGGGACAAAGAGCATGTGTGTGTGCTTGTTCGCTTGTATCTATACAGAGATACCTCTGTGTGTTTGGTGATGAGATGTGTGTTAGTGTGAGAGAGAATATACGCAGAAATAAACACAGCAGCCATAATGTGACCTATGACCTTCAAGGCTTTCACCCCAGTTTGCAAAAATCGCTCTCTCTCTATCTCTGTTTTGCTCTCTCTCTCTCTCTCTCTCTCTCTACCACACTCTTTGTCTCCCCCCTCCTCTCCTCCATCAGCAGCAGTATGTCTGTACCTTTCTGGAGGAGTCTTTGTTCGCCATGCCGTCGTCTGTCACAGATTAAGCAGTCAGAGGCTGAGGGCCGATTGGTGATAATTGTGCTGCAGGACAGGAGTGTTGGGGCTGGGGGTGGAGGGAGGGGGGGTCTGAGGTGTTTCAGCAGCACACCGCGTGACAGATGCCCCCTCTGTGGGCTGGGTGCTGCAGCTTGTTACGTTGAGCTGGAGTTCATCGGAGGGGAAGCAGGTGGCATTCAGGGTGACACAACTGTTTCATTACCGAGACCCAAACTGGGGCATGTGGGGGGGTGGGGTGGGGTGGGGGCGGCTTTGTTTAAATCCAGTTGATCTCCCCTCAGTCTGTTTAACTAATGACCATGACTTACCACAGGTGACCGGAAAATGAGGACCGGCGGGCTTGTCCATTGCATCCTGTGGTCACAGCTGGAGTCTGCCCACCTCCATGGCGAAATTAAAACACAGATGGGGGGGGGGGTGGAGAATAGGACAGAAGAGAGGGAGCTGGAGATTGTCAGGAGACCTGGAGTGGTGGGGGTAGTGGGGGGTGGGGGGTGTTGATGTTTTCCAATTCAGCAGATGTGAGTCATTTCATCTTGTGATTCAAATGAGTTGTGTGCTGTGTGAACAGATGTCCCAGACTCCTCCTCTTTTATCAACATTAGCTGATTGGGTTTTCGTGGGCAGCTGCCACGACTGTCAGCTTCTCAGGTAAGTCACAGTAAACCCATCCTCCTGGGAGTGGCCCCCGACCCTCGCGCCGGCGAACCTGAATCAGTGCTGGTGTTTCTCGTACCACTCGTATTGTTCAAATTTTGACTGGAAATTTCTTTTTGCAGAGGAATGGAATACCTTGTAAGAGTTTCGACCAACAATGTAGAAGAGAATAAGAGTCAGGGGGTAAAGAGGAGGAGAACATGGAGAGTTACAAGAATGAAACCTGGAGAGGCAGGAAATGGGGAGAATACAGACTGGAAGGGAGCAGAGATAGAGGCAGGAAGGGAATGTAGGGTAAGATTGGAAAGGAACAGAGAGACAGGAAGAGAACAGAGACAGGAATGGGACAGAAAGACAGGAAGGGAACAGAGATGGGAAGTGGAGATAGTAATAGGAATGAAAAAGAAGCAGACAGCAAGGGAGAGATGAAGGGAGCAGAGAGACAGGAAGGGAACAGAGAGACAAATAGGAAAGAGACAGAGAGGGGAAGGGATTAAAGGGAAAGATGGGAAGAGGGGAAAGAGAAAGACAAGAAGGGAACAGAGATAGGAAGGAAACAGAGAGACACACACAAAGGCAACAGAGAAAGTGACAGGTAGAGAGCGGAGGGAAAGGATTGAAGACAGCAGAGGGAAAGACTGGATGGGAACAGAGATAGGAATCAGACAGAGAGAGAAACAGGAAGGGAACAGAGAGACAGATAGGAGAAGTGAAGCACGTGAAGCAAGAATGGATTAGAGAGATAAGCAGGAAGAGGGAAAAACAGAAGTGAAGAAAGATGGAAAGGAAACATGAAGACAGAGAAAGGAAGGGAAGAGGGAGCGGCCACTGTGGCACTCCCTGCCATGAAGTCTCCGGGATGCTCAGCTCATTAAAACGCACCCATTATCCCCACATTTGCACGCATCACATGCAAAACTAATTTTCTTGTAAGAAATTAAAAGTTCATTTTAATTGAGCTCGCACTGCAGTATGCAAATGAGGAGTACATAATGTACACTGAGGCAGAAACAGCACGCCAAAAGCGGCCTTAACCCTTTCCTGGCATAGAGCACATGCCGCATACACGTTAAAAACATGCATGTGCCAGGTGGTAGCACATTATAGGAAAAGAATTTGTATGTGTAGCTCGACCGTCTCGGTTGGCAGGGACTGACAACGCGTCCCATAATGCACCACGCACGTCTGACTTCACGTCCTCCCACCCACATTGCCACGCGCGTCGTGACATTGGAAAGGTTGAAGGCAATGACAGGCTGCAGGTGTGGGACCCTCTCCTCTAGCCCCGCATCCTCTACCTGCACCTCAATCAGCCCCCGGGACCTTCGGATGCTGCGTCGTTAGGCAACGGGAAAATTAAAAGCGGCATAGTTTGCTGCTGATGTGAAGTGGATTGAGGTCAGCCACTATCTGACACCAAGGACATCTGATTCTGCACTGAGTGTATATTTACATTTTTATTTACTTAGAAGATGCTTTTATCCAAAGCGACATGAATTTTTGAGAACGCAGGGTCAGACACCCCTTGGGCAATAGGGGATAACGGCATTGCTCAGGGGCCTGATGGCAAAACCATTCTGCTGACCCTAGGATTTGACCTGGTGACCCTCCATTCACTGACTCAGCAGCCTAACCTGGGGAGCCACACACCGACGCTGGAACGGCTCCTGCCAGGTGTGTTCATCTCGTCCAGAGTGTCCACTGACTCCTGCTACCCTCCTTGTGACCCTGTACTGAGGAAGCAGTTTGAGGATGGATGAATTACAGTTATTTCCCCAGCCACACAACTGCACATTTCATCATCCTTGTTTATAGGTCCAAGGGTCAAGGTGTATTGTTTTCTGAAATTCCTATAAAACCATCAATGCAGGCATGCTTATGTAACTGTTAACGAAGGGCGGGAACACGGACCCCCTCATGTAGCGATGCACAGGGTTCAATAAGGTCTTTCTTTGGGGCCAAAGATCAATACAAATACCCATGGTATGGTGGAGGTCAAAGGTCAGAGAGCAAAAATGGCAGCAGGGTAGATGGAATTGCAGTTTTTTTGTTGCCCTTTTACCTGATGTGACCTTTCCAGGGGGAATTCTGTGACACTCGTATAGCCACTAATGAAAGCAGTCAGCACCATCAGAGACACCTGACACAAGTGGGATTGGCTTCCCAGTAAGCACTGACCAGTTAGGCAGATGAGTTTACTGGGACCTCCCTCAGCATCCTAGTGAGTGGTCGCTCCTCTAATGATTTCAGAACTAATCAAAACACCCCCAGTCATTTGCCACAAACCTTTCTGAAACTAGTTCAAAATCAGGCACAAATGAGGTGATCAAACTGATGTACACTGGAAATGTTGCCTGGCTTAGGTCCCAACAAGAATGGCCCAGAGATCTGAAGGCCCAGGGACTGTGGCACATGGGCTGGTCTATCCACCAGGTCATGGGAATCACCAGGGCAACCAAGTGCAAGCCACCAGCAGGGATACAGATTTTGTCGGTGGGCATTAATGGCAGATGTAAGGCATCAGTGATGTGCATTTAAAGACAGAGCTGTTGAGTCGTGCTCCAAGTCCTTAGCTCGTGTTGTGTTTTGGTGGTTGGGTGCACCGAAAAACAAATTGCAAGACTCCCTTCTCACCACTGCTTGAGTTCCTATGGTGTTTCAGGTCCTGGTTGTGTGAATGACCTCTGACCTGTTTGCATGAATGGTCTCCTGGCAGCTTCCATGAAAATGCAAAAAATGACTATGAAACTGTGGCAGTCTGCATTACTGGACAGGACCGAGTCCAGTGTTCTACAGAGGTACCACCAGCAGCCTGCGAAGGTCCAGAAGTTTCCTCATGTAGTATTGTCGATGTTATGGACAACGGACGCAATTTGAGAGGTGGAGGGGTCAAGGCATGAACACTTGGGGCCATGTAATGTCAGACCCAAGGTGTAATAAGGGGGGGGGGGGGGAAAGAAGCCGTCAGCGATTAGGGTGAGTCTGCCACATGACGTGGGCGAGGACCGATGCTGGTGTTCTGTTGGCAGGGCCTTGAAAGTGAGCCTCTAATGAGGAAAGTGTTGATTTGGCACAGGCCCTAATAGGATCAAAGGGCCCGTTTGGCTCACAGCTGACAGCCGGCGGTGCTCCGCTGGCGGGCGACCAGCAGGGGGTGGGGCTGTGGTAGCACGCGAGGAGCAGGGAGGGCCAGGGCGGCCCCCGTGGTGGTGAGCGGGCTCTCGGCAGCATGCCGACACAGGTGGGTCGCCCGGCAGCACGCGTCAGCGGGGAAATCGTAGAGCGGCATTCCCAGAGGAGCTAATTTCCTTAACCTCCACCAGGTTATCGGGAAGCAGCAAGCTGGACGTGGGAGAAGCCGGCTGCATGTTAAATTCCCAGAAGGGGAAATTTCTGCTGCGGGAAGCGGAGCCGACAGTGGAATTCGTCGTGGGGTGGCGTGAGGGGAAAGCCGATGAGCTGGTAGGAGCTGGCACACTCAGGGACATCTGCAGAACGAGCAACAAAGTCAGGGGCGTCCGTGAAGGGGGGTTCGGAGGGGGCTTCAAGAGCATGATGGGATGGGCCTCGCATGCGTGGCCCAAATGGCATTTTGGCCAGGCTGGGTCTTGTCAGGGAGGACGAGAGCACAAGAGTTGGGGTATCCAGAGGGGCCAGCGAGAGACAGACTGCCTGTCGATAAAAATACACCCCATCCCCTCTGTTAAATTCAAATGCAAATACGTTGTTTTTCTCCCTCTCACCCCCCCCCCCCCCCGGCAACCCCCCCACACTGTTCCTTTTGTCTCGAAAATTAGCCAAGCAGAGTGCTCGGGCGGCTAATTACGTATTCAAATGAAAGAGGCTCGTTAATGTTGCACAGGGGAGAGTGGAGATGATTGGGAGAGGGTGATGGAATTGAAATGAGCTCTCCGGTGTTGGCGGAGACGCATCTGGAGCCGGCGGAGCGAATCCCGGCAGATGTCACCTCCTGGGGGGGGCGTCAGGAAGGGGGTGAGCCGGCGTGCGCGCATACGTGTGTGTCGGAGAGGGTGAGCGGACTGAGGGCAGCAGAGAACACGCGTGTACGTGCACATGCCTTGGAACATGTCAGCCAAGTAGGATGGGATAGAAGTGTAGGTTAAAAAACAGGCCCTTATGAAAGCAAAAGGTTTTTTTGTTGGGGTGGGGGGGGGGGAGTGAATCAGTGAGTGCTGTGTCTGCCTGTGACCTGCTGTGCCTGTGCCTGTAATCATGGAGATGATTAAAATGGAGCGATCAACCCCGCTCCACGCCACATGGGACCTGGGGGCGCTCTCTGCTGTCCCGCTTTAATTCTGGCTCCTCCTGGCCACATTTAGTGCTGTCGTTTACTGAGGCTGCTTCAGCGCCCGACACAAAGGGATGCCTTGCTTACCCATTCCGACCGGAGCAGACCGACCGGAGCAGACTGACCGGAGCAGACCGACCGGAGCAGACTGACCGGAGCAGACCGACCGGTGGCGCTCTGCTTGGTTCCTTTGTCCCTGAGGGTCCTCTGAGCATTACTGTGACCACCTTGGTCCTGATGACCACCTCGAGTGGGAGGGGGGGGGTCACATGCCGAATCCTCCACCGATCCAAATTCCAGACTCCCTCTCCTCACTCTGCTCTACCCATGATCCACACCGCGACCCCCCTCCCACATACACCTCTGCATGCCTCCGTTTACCCAGAGGGGCTGACGATGTCCTCCTCTGCCCCTTGACCGCCTACCACCACCCCCCCACACTCCATCCTCCTCCCTCCCTGCCAAACCGCACTGCCCTCATCTCCCATGAGTCTGTGCGTCTGCGTTTCCACGTGAGTTTGTGTGTGTGTCTGTGTCTTTGGGCAGACCTCGTGTTTCTGCCAGCCTGGTCTACCCTCCCACCCACACACACACACACACACACAGACACGCACCTCCACACGGGAGCCAGGAGTGCAGGATCTGGAATAAAGGCCCCTTCTCCCTGCTTCTCATCATGCATTCATGGGGCGTGTGCTGTCAGCACCATGCCCCGCGGCTCCTCAGCTTCTGCCCTGCAGGTATCATTAGCATGGGCCTGTAGAGTCATTATTGATCCTTCAGCTGCTAATGTCATGCACGCCAGTCCCCCAGGGGGGCAGCCCTTTGATGCTGGTTGCCCATTCAAACCCCCTCCCCCGCCACACACACAGTGGCAGGGTTGCCATGCCACGCTTCTCTGTCACGGACCCCCTCGATGCATAGAGGGTGCGGAAGGCGTCTGTACATGGGGCTGCACCTAATGGGTGTGGAGCCAGGGGGCGCTGTGCCAGGAACTCAGGTCGGCTGTCAGTGCAGAGTGCGGGGACCAATGTCAACGCTTCCCTCTATCTGGCTCCAGCCGTTCTTATCTATCTGAGATACCAGTACGTTGAGTTTGATTCAATTAATTTTAATATAGCGCCCTTCCCCACATGGTTACCCCGAAGCACTTAACTTCTCTGTTGGTGTGTTATCTGTCGGGGAGATATAAGGGAGAGAAGATTCGCAGTTC